GCCACTCCCTCACTACTAGCCTTCCTGCAGACTACAAGCCAGTCTCCCACCCTCCGCAGGGCACTCTTGACCTGGTCTCTCTCAGCTGGATGGCACTGAGCAGCACTGCCCCAAGGCAGTCAGCTCGGAGTTGCCGCACTGCCATACAAAGGGATTTTATATTCTCTGATAGACCCCCTCCCTCCACTATAAAAGGATCCCTCCAGGGGGGTTTTAACCCTTCTTGTCACCCCAGAAATAAGCAAGTTAAAGGCACATAGGAGCCACAGACCTGGGCCAAGCTTATGGGGACCTTCCTCCCAGCAGGTGCATGCATCTGGAGAGCGGTTGGGCCAGAAACGTTCTGTCCATCCAAGATGCCCCCAAGCCCCTCACTCTCATTTGTGTCGCCCAAGGGGGATGGGAGACATGTCCTGGAAGCTGGGGAGCATTCAGCAGCCAGCCTGCCTCTCTTTCCCCCTCGCACAAGTGCCTCATCTGTCTAATTGCTTCTTTATTGTTTCCCAATGACATTTTCTCCTTCGGTGTCACCCTGAAATGGTTCCTTCCCCTATTCATCCCAGCGGCAATTAATGTGCCAGGAGGGGGAAGGCGGAGAAGGGGTTGGGGAGAGAATGGCAGGGCCTGGCCTCCTCACCACACACGCCCTGCCGTGAAATTTCCAATTAGTCTGCAAATGCATCAGACGCCCTCGGCCCTGGTGGCTGCCATGTAAGACAAGGGATGTAAAGGGAATGATCAATTACCTTGGGGTTCTCCAGGATCCCGGCCTCGTAGCTTCAGACGGGAAAGGAGACCGGGAGAGAGAAAGAAAAAAATTAGTCTTCCCCAACCTAAGGCCCTGCTGGGCTCGCATGGTTCAGGCATGTGTGGCACATAAGGCAATGAAGTGGCCGGCATGTCATCCAGCTGCCCTTGCTTCCCAGCCCAGCTGACCAGGGGGTCAAGCTTTTGGCTTGAAGGACTTTTTGGCTGACCAGCAGTTTACAGCTGGGGGGTCAAGCTTTTCGCCTGAAGGACACGGACAGAGGCAGAGCGGCACTGCCCAGGGGCGAGCCGGTCGTGGGGCCACTCTCCCTGATGCTGTTAATGCGAATGTTTTGGGGGGACAAGTGCCACAGGGTCTGTCAAGGATGTTCCTACTACGTACTGAGGCTTGGAAGATAAGCAAAGCAACAGCTACTGCTACTTGGAGAGCAGGGCATGAGGAAAGAGGTTGAGGCCCGGAAACAAAGAAGGGCAGGGGCTTTCACAGACCAGTCGTGGGTCAGGATCCAGCCTGCCAGGGAGAAGAACAACCTTCTTCAATGCCCACAATGCCAGTTCTCCTGTGTTGTGTGTCTTGTGCTGTCCTCTACACCAGTCTAAGTCTTGACCAGTCCCAGCAGCACTGGGAACTGGTCGTGCCACAAGGTGCAAGAGAAAAGAGCCCAGGATGCTGGCCCCTTCTCACCCTCCAGAAGCTCTTCCCATTCCTCAGGTCTCACCTGATGTGCATGAGGTTTTCATCCATGCTCCAGGGGCTCTTGGGAGTCACCGGGACTGGGATGCCATGTTTCTGTGGACAAGAAGGGAAGATGAACTTAGAAGCTCCCGCCGTTTGAGAAAGCTAGACTTGCTTCTCCGTACGGGCTGTGGCTTGGGTCTGAAACCCCTGGGTACTGCCCAGCACCGCTGTGACCCAAATACATGCCAAGAGGGAGTTAATGGCAGTCCTTAAAAATCCCCCAGAGCCGTTCAAAGGGCTAGTGCACGTCTCTGCACCTTGAGGCCAAGGGGCACTGCGTTACTGCAGAGCGCAGAGGTGGTTTCAAGCTCAGAGACAATTCAGAGAGGATGGTCTAAGCAACACCTCGGCAAAGAGGTCTGAAGGAGCTAAGCTGAGGGCTTGGAGGCCGGGCAGAGTGGTATTACTAGCACCGACACTTCATGGAAGAGAGAGCCTGGTTCCCCGGGAATGCTCCCACGCCAGGACATCACCGGAGACTGCTGGTTAATGGTTAGCAACCAAGCTGGAGAGACAAGCACCAGCCCTAAGGCCCGCACATACATGCAGGAAGGCAACAAAATAACAAGGACGTTATAGTTTGTTCTAAAGGCCGCGATGCTGCCCAACCCCTCCAGCATGGCTCACCGCCTTCTCACACAACCCACTCCCCGGCGTGCACCCCACTTGCCCCGTCCCACCCAATTGCACACTACCACCCACTCCCTTAACATAAGACTTGCCACTGACTGGGTCAGACCATGGGTCCGTCTTGCCCAGTCTCCTGGGTCACACAGGGGCAGAAAGTGGATGTTGGAAGGGAGCGTGAACAGGGTCTCACCAGGGTTTTTTTCCCACTCTTCCTCTCCCACTTGCAGCGTCCAGCCTGTCTTGCTTTTCAGACCGTCAGGGTCCCGCAGCAACACCATCGCTGCTCAGGCCTGCACAGTGTCCACCTGGCACCCCGACTGCTTCTACCGCCACCGTGTCTACCAATGTCGGGAGCATCAGTGAGCAGGCAGACACCCTCATCCAACCCGCCAGTTCTCCACGCCACTGCGGTAGTCAGGTCAGGGATGGCTGCTGCAATGAGCCACCTGCCTAAGCGTTCACCCAGCGGCTCAGGGGGGGGTTGAGGCCTAACCTGCACAGGTGCATGTAGAGGAAGCAAGCACACTCCCAGAAAAGAAAGCCCTGGTGTGGGAAGCAGACACTTTCCCAGACTTCAGGGCTCAGAGCCGGGTGGACCAGTCTAAGACCTTTCAATGAACTCCCTCTGACCAGCAGGGATGAGTATAAATCTGCCAGACACTGGTGCGCACACAGGCTAGCAAGCGACAGAAATTCAGGGAGAATGAATTCCCTGTCCCCATCCTCCCCACCCCATCCTGGGGCCAGGATCAAATGCAAGCAGCAGAGGAGATGCAGGGACCAAGCCGCAGCATGAAGCAGGACACGGCTCTGCCCACGGTCTCTCCTGGTGTCCCAGGCTGATCCAGCAAATCCAGGGAGCTCAGCCCTGCAAAGCCCCACCTGGGCTTTCTCCCTCCATGGCACTGGGAAGCTCAGCCTCTGACATTTGGCAGCCTGATGATGAGGAGACCCTGTCCACCCTCCCACTCCCACCACCACGCTGCCCTGCCCGCTGCTTCTGATCGCTCCATTAGCTTTCAAGAGCCTGTTAGTCAATTAATGCTCTTCTTTGTTTATTCTGAATGAGCTATAATCACCAGCACAGGGTGGCCCGGAGGTAATGTTCCCTGCTAACAGCTCCACATCCCCCAACCCTCCTCCCTTGAGTCTGCACACATACACACACACATGCACACTTCACAACTTTGCTCCTGCTCCCCACCCTCATATTTTGCACAAGAATTTCATGCTTTTCCTTCAGCCCCTGATTTTCCCCATGCTAAGCAGGTGGCAACAACAAAAAAAAAAGATCCTAACAAATTGGGTTTCCTGTTCGAATCTTCTTACACACACCGAACATCAGGTTGTTTTTCCCAATTCTCCATTTTTGTTCTACCATAAGAAAAAAAGGACATCAAAGCCTTGCAGCGCTCAGCTGTTTTGCCTGGGACCCTAGAGAACATCCATGCACCGATTCCAATGTCCCACCTGTTTCAGTTGAAGTCACCAGTATGAAAGCAACCTAAATTACTCCCAGTCTATTCCCTGAATCTGTAAAAACAAAATGAAACCCATGCCTGCCCTAACCGCATGCCTAAATCTCCCTTGAATCTCACACTTGCCTTAGGCTACAGTAACCAAGAGGAAAACCATATTTCCTGGGTCTCCCCCTTACTTGGTGAAAGTTAGTCTAGCGCCACTGAAGTCTATCCTGGCAGGAGATCAGGCTGTCTATTTTTAAGACATTTTTAGCTGTGTTACTAATGCTTTTGATTACCACTACAGAAATACCTATACAATTTTCACCATTTATGCTTCTTCAGCATTGCCAGTTCCCGGTGTTCAAAACACTTAAGTCAAGCTTCCCCAAGAATCATGAGATTGGCTTAAAATCAGTTCAGTCGGTGGTGCCTTCTGATGTTTGTTTGTAGGCAGCAAGTGTCCCTCCATAACCCTGAAAGCCAGATTTTCATTTCTGACAAATGAATAAAAGCCTAATCATGAGACTCCGGAAGCAGGGACTTAGATATAAATCACCAAGGGCTGGCAATGGCACCACGCATTAGCTTCATGGATTTCACTCTACTTGGACTTTAACAGGAAAGAGCTGGGTACGTCTTACCCAAGTACATGTTTTGATTTAAAAAACCCAAATTGTTATTCATCCAGTGGATAATTTTCTTGTATTGGACTCACTTGATTAAGTCGGCGCTCTCACTTTTCCTTATGGACAAGGCTAGTACTGAGGTCTCCACAATGTTGCAGAAGTTAGGGGGCAGAAGAATTACAATCCCGGCCCTGCACTCAGAGAAATCCTTTCTAGTTGCACTGAGCATTCCCCAAAATCCCTGTATTAGGATCATGTGAATGTAAGGCCCAAACTGAGTTCATAGCATCTGGTGACAAAGACTTGGGATTACTCACACGAGCCCGTTTGGGCAGGTGTGCAGGGCCCTGCCCCTGCAAACCTTTACAAATGCATTCAGCAATACTTCCACGAGGAGTGAGAGTCCCAAAGGGTCGAATTTTCCCTCCAGCCAGACCCTGTGTGACTAAGTGAAGTGCGCACCTCAGTGATTAGAGCAGTAATTCTCAACCGAGGGCCGTGCAATATTAGCACTGTTAGGTGTGCAAACACCTACGCACAATCGATGCACAAGATCAACCCAGAAATTTCACATAGGAATCCTTACTTTCAAAACTAATTTCCAACCTGTTGTGGTCTTTCTGAGCTTGTTGCAACAAAAGAATTGCCCTATTATTTTCAAGAAACCTGTGAGAGCTAAGCGCTGTCATTTTCTGACAGGTGCTTGGAGTCTACAGGGGTGACCTGAATCTAAAAAAGGTTGAAAACCACTGCATAAAAGGATCAGGCCCCAAAATAAGACTGAGATTGTGGTGGGGAGCAGATTTCTTCAGCTCTCAAAAGGGACGGGATACCGGAGAGGCCAGTGGTGGCTGATCCGTCTTAAAGTCTCCCCCCGTTCTAACGTCCTCCCTGCAAATAGGGCCCCAAACAGTGGCGTCTCTCTCTCTCTTTTTCATTTCTTTTTTTTTTTCCTCAAAAAAAGAGACACGTGTTCCATTTTCCATATAATAAAAACACAGCTCTCCTAATAACTCCACTACTTGACAATTTGTTTGGCAACATATGGGAAGCTCTTGTAAACTCCCCTCTTAATAATAAAACAACAGATGGCAAACACAATCCTCAACACGCAGCACTCCGGTCTTTAATGGGATGCGGAGGCCTCTCTCTCTGCTCTTAGCGCTCCACGTGGCGCTTCCCCTCCAACTCAGCACCTTGGCTTCACGGATATTATCCAGCCAGCCTAGACGGCAGCTATTTAAAAACTGAAGCAATTTTCTGGTTTATGCACAGAGCTGCTTTTTTCCTTTTGATTGATTGAGCCCACTTGTCAAGCATTTCCATGAAGTCGCTAAAAAAGAAAGGTACCCTGGTGGGCACTTAAGGAACCTGATGCAAAACTTCTAATATGTTTTATTGCAACTTGTACTTCAAAAAGGAAGGGACGACAAAAGGGAAAATGTATTTGCTTTGTCTATTACGCAAGCCATTGAGCTAGGACCAGTTTCCTCAGAAAGTGGATTACAATTAACATCCAGGTAATTATGGGCCATTTAAAAAAAAAAAACCCCACAATCATGCCCCTGAACAACAGCAAGGATCTCATGCAGAGCCAGCCTGAATTCCCACAAGGAACGGGAGCGGTTGTGCTCCGCTCAAATCCAGAGCACCCTCGAATTAGAATATAAAAGGCTTTGCCGCAAGATGGAATCAAGACAACTGATGTACGGAGAGACCCCATCCCCAGTTAAGCCAATCCAACCATCCCATTGACTTAATGGGAGTCCAGATTCTGCCCTGGAGCTCTATGGACCTCATTCCCCAGGGCCCTGTATTGTGTGCAGCCATAATGCCAGTGTCAAGAGGGCATAAAGCACCTCCTTTCTGATTTCAGCTTGCACTGGCATAAGTGATTGTGCATGATGCACGATGGCAGAAGCAAACCCCTGGACCTCGGCTCCCCAGGGATGGGGCTCTTCCCTTCACCTGCCCTGCCACGTTACATTGCAGGAGACGGATCATCTCCTCTGCCCAGCACAGTGGGGCCCCAGCCTTGATGGAGGCCTCTAAATGATACTGGGACACATGGGTTTGTTCTACATTTCTCCACTCCTGCACACACTGCAGGGGAGGTTGCAAAGGCATGTGTTCTGCCCCTGGGTACGGAGGGAGCGCTCGATGCTGCCACGCAGCGATGCCTCCCGGCCTCTTAAGGAGGCAGGAAGGGAGCCCACTCCGTTGGTGGATAGACAGCGCAGAGAAGGGACCAAAACGGAGGAAGCAGCCTACATCAGGAGCAAAGGGCGAAGAGGAAGGACCCAGGTCACGGGAAGGGAGCCTGTACCTTGGCATACTCCATCAAGTCGTTGCGTCCTTTGAAGCGGTTGTAGAACTCCGGCATCCTCCAAGGAGCGATGATCTGGAGGAAGGAGCAGAGACAGGGTCAGTCCGGTTGAACCACAGCCCTTGGCTACCTTTGTGGCCTGCTGAATCCCAGCCACAAGAGGCAGGTGGCCCAACCATCCTGGTCCCTCAGCCGCAGCTTTTCCGACTCTCAAACGGTTCCCAGGGGTTGATCCCCTTCACAAGCGTGCGACAGGCCTGCGGTGCTGAGATCCTGACCCAGGGGCTCACAGTGGGCATCAGCAGGCCTGAGAGAGCCCCTGTGAGCAAGCCAGCTGGGGACGATGGCCAGAGGCTGAAACGTGGCCAGGAGACCTACTTGGCTGAGAGTGCTGCATCCACGGCACGTGGCACCTATCCAACTTGACAAGGCACCCGGTGTAACAGGCAGAAGCAATGCGGAAAGGGGCCTTCACCCTGCTGCAACAAGCCAGGGCTCAGACCAATAGCAGGTGAGTGCAAGACCTCAGCCCCAGTCGCCCTCCTGCCCAGTACCTTCCGGTGAGAAACAAAGACATTCATGCACCCTGATCAGCCTTGTAAGCAGGGAAAAGCCTTCTCCTTCTCTCCCCCTTTAAAATACAGCACTGGAGAGCCAAGGCTGGTGTCTAACTACAGCTCTTTCCGGAAGATCTTCTTCCAGCCCTACAAGTGCCTCAGCCCCGACATAGGGAAGCTATGTCTACTGGCAAGAAGAGAGGTCAGTCCCCATGGCCCATTGGATCCCTCTGCCCTCAAACAGGGGTGCGAGCACCATCAGGGACTCACAATCACATCTCATCTTGTCTGCTTGAAACTGGCACCAGTGCGGAGCAGCCCCCGCACTGGTTAGCGGGGCCCTCCAGGCTCCGCTTGCCCCCAACAGACATGGATCCAGCCTATCTTTTAGTCGCTACTGTATTGACTGCCGAGCCCTGCATAGAGAAGCTTCCTCCCTAATTTCAATGCATTGCTTTGCACCCCACCAAAACCTGAGGAGGGACAGAACTAGGTCTTATCTTACTTACTGCTGCTCCATGGATATCTAAGGAGCAACCACTGCTGGCATTAGCAGGACCCTAAAGATGGGACTGGAGGTGTTTTACTGCGATGCAGTGAGCACCGTATCCAGCTTGATGTACACCTTGCTGGGGTCATCTGACCCCAGTGCTCTTTCCTGCCATGGCAGGGGGTCAGACTAGATGATCTGCTCAGGTCCCTTCCGACCCTAGAAACTATGAAACTATGAAGAAGCTTTCGCATCTACCTTGAGATGAGGCTGAGGAGTGGACCCACCTCTGGCCCACCCCAATCCCAGGACTCCCGTGGCTCAAATAAAATGAACCCAAACCAATGCTCATTTGGGGGTGTCACAAAACCTGGGAGCATGGCCACATTTTGAGCCCTCTAACCTTTCTCCTTGAAGACACCCCAGAGAAGAGTCTGCTCTCCCCACTCTTCTGCAGAAGACCCGCTGCTCCCCGCTTTCTCCGCAGGACCCCCAGACCCCTCACCATTTTGGAAGAACAAATCTAACACACCCCAACCTCCAGCCAAAAATAACACACGCACAAAGCTCCTCTCCCGCCTGGGTTGGTAAAATTCCTAGAGCAGGGAGTACTGCAAAGGGATGCTCATAGCCTGAAGCACAGACCACATCCATTGGCAGATTTAATCTCACCAGACAAAGGTGGAGTAACCCAAAACCCTTGCAAGCTGCCACTGTAACCCTAACGAGCAGCAGAATATGCCAAGACGGGGGGAGGGAGAAGCATCCATTATCCCACCAGCCACTCAACACAGCTGCCTTGTTACTGTTTGTTTCACGGTGTCGTGGTGTTTGGGGTAAAAATAGGTCAATTAAAGATCATTACAGCCCCCTCAAATGCCAAAACGTCACCTCAAGCAGCTGGCGGCTTGTTAAAGAAAAACGCAATCGCTTTGAGTCTGTGTTAAAAAATAAAAATTCCCCGCAGCCGACTACGCGGAGCCTCAGCAATGCTGCTGGAGGGCTAGGGAGCAACCTGGGGACCCCGCCGGGGCCCGAACGTCTGCCTGATTCTTCTGCATGTGGGAAGCACTAACGGGACCGTTTCACACATGTCCGGGCATCCAAAAACACCACTGGGGAAGAGAACAAACCAGGCCCTGAGCGAGGCAATTCAGCTGCAGTTACTGATCAGAACGGAGAATATCTAGTAACCTTTTGCACAAGGAACGGGAACATGTCACCAAGACAGCTGTGTTTGGTGACGGCTTGTCTTCTCGCATAGACCATCCTGGCGACAGCACCACGATGACCCTGTTACGTTTCTGTCCGACTCGCATCAGCACCCGGAAGCATGGGTGCTTGGATCTCGTGCAGGGATAGGACGCAAAATTGGGTCTTCGGGGATAGGACGGAAAATTTAGAAATGAGCCTAAGCTGCCAAACTGAGGTCTGGATTCACACTTGGCCAGAGCGTAGATGCCAGGGGTTTGAGTTAGGCTCATTTTTGCTGGCAACATTACAGACCAGGGGAGATTTATGCCACAAGAAGAGCATCTCATGCCATGATATCATGGCATCTCCTGTCTCATCCAAAACATGGAAAAGCAGAGACAGCTGGGAACATTGTGAAGACCCATGCAGGCTTATTTTAAGGATCATCCTGCAGTGTGGCCCAGGGGTCTAGGCAAAGGTGAGGTTGACTTCCCAGGCTGTGACCAAAGGAGATAAAAGCAACAAAAAAAGGTGCTTGATCCAGTTCCATTTCTTGGGGCCTCGAAAAAAAAAAATCAGCCCTGAAGACTACTTGGAGTTCACTCACCCAGGGGAAGGGTCCAGGCTTCATGGAGCATTTCTGGACCCTATATTAAGCAGAAATGCTAGGAAAACATTTTTCATCAAGCCTTTCAAATGCGAAGGCTACAGCAACACTGGAAACATTTTAAAATGTTTTCCACAACATTTTAAATGAAAAACCAAGGCCCTCCGCTTTATTTTTAAAGATTTTGTCAAGAAAAAGGGTTATTTTTTCCCAGTTTCCCCCCAAATTGTCCCTACTAGACAAGCAAAGAAAGGAAGGGGAGACTGAAAGTAGGGAGGAAAGAAAGGAAAAAACAGGGGAGCTTCCCATTTCTAATCATGGGAAAATTCAAAAGAAGGAAAACCTCTCATTGAGGGAGAAGAAAAAGATTTCCCTTCACTAAAAACAGTCTTGAATGAAATTATTATAGCCAGCTCCAACACAAACACTCTGAAAGGGGCTACGGTGGCAGAGTCGGCACTCATGGCCACTCATTTTGCAGGTGATGCCCTGGAGACCAGGCCTGGAGACCAGGTCAAAGAGAAGTGGAAGCATGGACCCCTTGGAGATTCCTCAAGGTAGATGTGAAAGGTGTGAAAGGCTTTTCCATGGCCCATACCATACCACAGAGAGTGAACCCAAGCACTCAAGAAGCATCTCAAGTACAGAGTAAACCTGCAAACAAGCATTACGGACCCTTCCCCATGCCAGTCATGTGCCCCAAAGGGTGCCCAGGTCTTCACCAGGCTTGGTGGAAGTCTGCAGTCCTTACCTTGATCTTAGGGCACAGGGCGTAACAGGTCAGCTCAAACCGAATCTGGTCATTCCCCTGCAACAGAGAAGAGGTGGGCTGAGGACAGTCCTGTGACTAAGCCCCATCCCTCATGTTCAAACATCATGCACAGGGCTGCGAACTTGGACACAGGTGGTGGCAGCATCCCAGAGCAAGGCAACATGAATCAGGTCTCTCTGGTCTCCTCGGAGCTGAGGTCAATATGGAGCCCAAGGCCCAGTTGTGCCCCTTCCCCAGCAGATATTCCCCCTGGGGCCAAGGTCTAGGGCTATGCACCCCAGCTCCGACCACTGCAGCTCGTAGGGAGAGGGCTTTGGGACAGCACGGGGGAAAGGGGATGAGACAGGAAACTCCGGGTGTGTTAAGAACAGTACTGCCTTGTGCATTTGCCAAGCCATTTGCAAAAGCAAGCAAGAGAACCAGTCAATGCCAAGCTGGGGCATCGTCGTGCAGCACAGGCAGTCTTTGGAGCACTTGCTTTCCCTGGCTGAGCTCGTGAAAGCAAAAGCCCAGGGGTACTGAAGGCTTGTGAGCCAGATCCTCAGGTGGTGTAACTCCATTGCACCAACACAGCTCCACGAAGTTACACCCGCTGAGAATCCAGCCCAGTGACTCTCCATCTTCTCATCCCATCCAATGAAGGCAAAGCAGAGGAAAGGTCTGCAGATCCAAACTGAGGAAAAGAAACTACAGGAACGGTAGCACTGCAATATCAGGGGCCCATAATGTGTACAGCAGTGCCTGGAAACAAGAGATGCTGAATTCCAAGCAGGAGCGAAGGCCTGTTTGTCACACTGCCCCCCCTGCTTTATTGTGTGCCCACGAACACATGACAAAAACGCTCTTATTTACCGGGACAGCAGCTAATGGGCAAGTGGCCCCCTGACTATATCAATGTGAGAGCATGAGAGCCAGCGAGACCCAGACAGTATCTGTCTCTAATTAACCTCCTCTCTCTGTAATCCCTAACCCATCTGTTTTAGAATTACTGGAGACGACAAACGCTGGCTCAAAGCCATGCCGCAGCCATATCGCTCTGTCCATCTCTGCCTCCGCTCTCAGCCAGGCACACGGCAGAGCCGAGAAAAACACAGCTCAGTGCTGCTGCCCAGCCATGACAAGAGCCGTGTTGCAGGGTGAGGTGTGCACACACGTATGTTTGAGCTGAACCAAAGGTATAAGGCACGTGCAGGAGTTGCCCTTTGCTGTGGCATCAGGCAGTGCTAACCGTGAAGCCGGTCGCCATACAAGCAGCCTCTCAATAGGAGATCCCATCCAATTGGGATGAATAAACCTGCCCCAATCCTGCAGCAACTTGGGAGCTGCTCAGGACTTTGATTTGCACACAGAACTTCACAGCCGCTGCAGGGAGGGAAGCCAGACCCCCCTAAGTCAGGAGAACCAGCCTCTGAGCTAAAAGAGCATTGCCATTGCCTGCCAGTGGTATAGGACCTGTGGCTGGTAGCTGAGAAGCTCCGTCCCCATTTGGTAGAAGGCAACTTTATCCAGCGCGTTACCCTAGGTAACTGATGCCTCCATAAGCTCCCGGAAGCAAATCATGCTCAGGCAGAGGCAGGTAGACATCCCCTATTTGAGACAGAAAATCAGTGCAAGAGCAATCTGGCTCATAGGCCATTCACTGGTTTCAGTCATAAACAGCTTGGGTTATGTAGGCAGCTGGACCCGCAAAGGGGAAGGAGATCTTGAAACAGAGGCCTTTCCTACATAGAGAAATGTTCACCCTACAGCAGCGGTTCCCAGGCTGTGGTACAGGTACCGCCAGTGGTACACAGACAACCTGTCAGTGGTATGCATTGACAGTTTTATTATAATTACTTTATATGACACAAATTTGCTGGTGGCACTTAAGGTTGAACTGAAAAAATTGCTGGCGGTACTTAAGGCTGTATTGTTTTAAATTGGTGGTGTGCAATCTGTCAGAGTCTGGGAACTGCTGCCCTACAGTACACTGGGCCCTGCAGACAGGCTCAGCTCCCTCTGGGAACACCCCTCACTGGGAAAAACCAGTGGCCTTTTTTGGTTTAGCTCCTGTTATTTCCAATATCAGGACATCCATGAATTTCCACCTCCCTAGGAACAGGCCCTGAGTCTGAGACTCCAGCTACCACGGGCGATCTCTGTGGCTTTAACTCGCCCCAACGTGAGCATGAGCTCGGGGCAGGGCTAACAGTTCATCTGTGCCCATCTCTGGATCAGCCCTGCAGAGAGGGCAGGACTGTGCATGGCATGACCGAGCCCTTCCTAGGTGGCCAACGGAGGTGCTTTCATGCCTTTAGCGAGCCCTCTCCACTGCACCACAGGCACGTGTCACCCCAGGGATGCATTTAATGTTACCACAGGTATTTTTAGAGGGATGGATTTTCAAAAATAGCTGACGACCCCATATGCACTCAGCCTGCATGACTCTTGCTAAATGTGTCACTGAGACATCTTGAGGGCTTGTCTAACCCAGGCTCACCAAAATGACTATGTATTGCTTTGGACTGCGAGCCTTAAAGGAAAAAAAAAATGATTACTGAAGCTAACCCAGGCTTACAAGACAACCTGAAAGTCAAACCGGGACAATGCAGAGTAAAAGCGACACACCAACACAGGCTGCCCAGTCTGTACAAATTCAGTGGCAGTCCAGATGTGGGCAATGCCAAAGGCATTTAGGCACCAAGCCCTCTTTGTGGACCAGGCCTATGTTCTAAATCAGAACAGGTCACAGAGGGCTCCCGATTCCCTTGCAGGCAGGGACGACTCACAGGACCCAGGTCTGGAGGTCTAAGGGGACAAGCTGCAACAGTGAACCTTGAAGAAACCTTCATCTTCTTTCCAGGGAGCTGGGAGAGGAGCATGAAGGTGTTCCAGCCGCCTGCGGAGGGTTTAGATTGAGAGTGTGGTCGGGGGTAGAAAGGTAAGAAAGGTTTATTGACTTAAGAAAAACACAACTACGCGTAGTAACAAGACAAACGACGACAGACAAAAGCAATTCGCATCGGCAACTTATTTGCAGTCCCTCTGATGCTCGATACACAGCAAGCTTCTTTTTCCACAAAGTTCAGTGAGGTCAGGCGTCCCCAGACAACGCTGTCTGAGGGGTGCCAGGAAGGACCCTGGAATGCAGTTCTTGGGGTCCTTGAGGTCCACAGGCCCACTGATCTAGGCAACAGCTAACTAATCCTTTTCACAGAGCTGCATCTTCCTTCTGAATTGTTTCCAAATATTTCAGCTAATTTATAGCTTTTGAAGGACACTGATAACGTACAACCACTTAGTTTCCTTTTTCTTCAACTGTCCTTAGACTGACCAATAGCAGTACAAGCCTTGCATTCTTTTGATAAGGTAATTTTAACTGTGCCACAGGGCCTTACTACTTCTAGGCTCTGCTAAATTTGCTAGGCCTTACTTTATACAAGGCCTCACTACATCTTAAACTATAATTAGGCTTTTAGCAACAACTTATAGCTTAATATCTAAACAAATACAGGAAAACACTTGGTCTAATCTTCACAGAGCCTTCAGCAAGCACTTTTGTCACACAGACATACTTTTCAGCTGCCACAGAAGGCACTGAGGAGGATGGCTGTGTAGGGAGGAAGATCATGGAGTGTGAGATGGGGGGTGGGGGGGAGTTGATGGCTTGCTCGATTGTGGACACCCTTTCATCTTAATTGGTCCTTGCCAACGAGCCCCCTGGCAAGAGCTGTCTAATGAGGCCAGGTACCTTGGTGCAGGAGGGTGGGAGCAGCTCAGGGAGCTATTAGTCCTTTTTAGGGAATAGAGATGAGTGCCCAGTTTCCACCGCCACTAAACAGGATACCCTCCCCTCGCCCCCCCTGTTCCCACAACCCAGGCCCAGCGGATGCATTTGCTGCTGGTCCAGGGAACCCCCTGGGACTATTACACACGTGCACATATGAAAGTACATACACCAAAACACTAATTTCCCTTACAGGCCCAAAACACGTCCATCTGCTCCTGAGACAAGGGCGCTGCAGATGGTGCGCATTTAAGATGCTGGAGCCCCTGCTGCTGCCGCAGCCGGGAACAGCGCATTCCCGGGTCAGGTTACCAGCACTCACCTCCTCCTCCCCAAACCATTAAGCTGAGGAGAAGACAGACTTGGCAGAGGCTCAGGGTGCTGCTTCCTGGCTACTCAGAGTCAGAGTTGGTGGGGGAGGGAGGTTGGCTTCTGCAGTGTCAGTCCACGGAGGTGACTTTTTAGCGGGGGGCAGTGGAGGGGAGCTCAGTGCAGAAGCAAGGGTATTTGGGGGCTGTATCACTCAAGCGCAGAGCATGGCAGCCAAGCAGGCACGGCATCTCTGGCTCCAGAGCCATGCAAGTGAATCCTGCTGCATGATGTGTGCCACCAGGAATGGGACTTGGCCCTTCAGGCTGAGGCATCAAGGGATGCTGGCCCCATCCACTGTGAGCCTCTGAACCGACTTTTTGGATCGCTCAAGAGCACCCTCCAGTGGACGGCTTAAAGAGGAGCAAACAGAAAGGGTGACACCTGCCCAAGGGGATGTAGCAAGGCGCATGGGAAAAGCCTGTGCAGGGAAGCTGCACCACATAAGTGGCTCCCTATCCTCCACAGGTGACAACCACTTTCGGAAGAACAATGAGACTGAAGAGCTCTATCCTAACAGACATCCCTCGAGATGCTGCCCCTCCTGCTTCTGAGCCTTAATCCATTGCCTGTTGCACCCTACAGCAGCAAGCTCTTCAAACCCTCTGCTGAGGCCTTCTAATAGCAATCGCCCCCTTCCTAGCTTGTCCCGTTGTTTCTCCCTTGGGCAGGGATGGTTAACTCAGATTGGGCCCTCCTCCCTCTTCCTTTCGGTGGACTCTGGAGGTCTGATACACCTCCCGACTTCCCACGGCACACCTGGAGATCTCTGACTAGCATCCAGCCTGGAAACAACTCAGTGGTTTTAGATGGGTGAATACAGAGAAGCATCTTCTAGCCAGCTCTGTGTCCTCCTCGCTGGAGGCAGAGTGAATGTCCACCACAGACCACGACAAGTGCA